CCCCAAAACCCCAAAACCCCAAAACCCCTCAAAACAATAATTTGATTGATATACAGATTTCTAAAATAAATTACAATATAGATTTAATTTAGTATAATAAATATATAAATGAGAATCCTTAAGTCTTCACTATTACTAGTGTCACTTATATGTCTAGCAAATGAAGCAATTTGCAATCTTGCTGGAACTGCTGCAGGTGTCGATATTGGTATCGTAGATTAAGTCAAGAAAATCGGAATGCCAATTATCTAATAGCAACTAAATGACTTCAAAGTTGGTAAAATCAATTTTAAAGGAGGTGATGTGGATAACATGGACTTAAAGTTCTCCTTCAACAACCCAGATTCCATCAAGGTAGCCTTTTCAGGTGCTTCTAATGCTATAAATGTCCAAGCCAATGATATATCAGGCGAGATCACAGGTAGATTCCATTACAAGTTACTGTTCATTCATGCTAGTGGCAAGTTTAAGGTGAAAATGAATAATGATGCAGTTAAGTTGAGCATGAATGTACCTCTTGTCTCCTAAACCATTGATGGTCGTAACATCCCAGCCATAGGAATTAATGACTTTGACTTGCACATTGACAGTTCCAAGATACATATCACTTTGAGTGGTAGTTTCATAGCTGATATTGCAGATGCATTCGTAGACATCTTTAAGAAGCTAATCATTAAGGAGATTAATAAGGCTATTAACAGTGCAGTGCCTAAACTAGTTATCTCATCAATCAACAAGATATTCAAGGATACAAATGGCAGAGCTAAAGTCTATAAGGACATGCAGTTTGACTTCACTTTCGTTAGCAACCCAGTCATCTCAGATAGTAACCTGGCTCTCTATCTAAATGCTACACTTTATGACTCTGTTAATGGCTACAAAATTCCAGCTATCCCATTATCTGATGTTTAAATACTCAATCCTTCTACTAACTCTGTTGAACTGTCAGTCTCACACTTCACTGCAGATTCCTTATTCATTGCTTTGCAAGAGCAAAATTTATTCCAGTACTATCTAGATGCCTCAAAGTCAGGCAAACTCTCTTCTATGCTAACTACTACTTACCTTGAAGGTCTCCTTCCAGGTATTGAAGCCAAGTATGGAAAGGATGTCCCAGTATCTGTAGACTTCAAGTCAAGCTCAGCCCCAAGAGCCTTGTTTTAAAAAGATGATTTCGGTTTGATTGCTGACCTTGATCTGACATTCATAGTTCAGAATCAAACAGCCATCATAGTCTCTCTTAAAGACTTTTAATCAACAGTAATCGTAGCACTCTAGGGTCAAAACTTAAGCGTCTAGATTCAGCAATGCCAGATCAATGATGTCAGTGCCTCACAGTCATAAATAGGTTACTTTTCTGCTTATGATTTCAAATTATTCTTTAACGTTGCCAGCAGAATCGCTGTCCCAATCATCAATAATATGTTCCTTGAGAACCCATTTGTACTACCAAGCACTATTCTTGGCATGATTCATATTGATGACGCCAAGTTCCAGTCATTTGACAACTATCTAGCTGTCAATGTATCTCCCTAATTCATAACTGCTTGAATTCTGTTGGAAATAACTATTAGATTTGATACTTTAAAAGAATCTTGATTTCATAAATCCACTTTAACATATTATCAAGCTAATAGTATATCATGGGGTTTTGGGGTTTTGGGGTTTTGGGG